GGTCGTATCAAAACCACATTGTTGGATTTCAAACCACGGATTCTCACTTGAGATTATTTGATTATAATGTGATAGCCAAGCGGTGAATGTTGTAATATTTTGGACGTCGCATTGTCTGCTTACTCCTATTGTATCGGGACGACTTTGTCCACATCCACGGTCGTTACGTACATCGGACCCAGCATTAATTGAAAATGCACACAAAACTTTCTGTTTGTTCTTTGTAGTTGGTGTTTTCAAATGTGGATAAAGAATGAATCCAGCGTCATAGTATATTAGAGACGAAAACGGATGATCTTTTCGTAGATATGTGAATGAAAATGAATTCTTCTCCTTATCGCCTGATTTTAAGCTCCACGCAAATTTCGTTTCATTGCTATAAAATTTGACACCACGCATAATAATTCCCGAACATTCGTAGAGTGGTTTAGCTACACCTTGACTATCCAAACATTCATTTGACTCATCATAGAAACGGTTTATCAACTCTTGCACAATGTTTTGTTCACATGAAGATTTTAAAACAAAACCGACCACGACCAAAACAATTATTCTACAGAACAGTATTATCATTTGAACCATGGTTCACGATTGTCTCTTTCAATTTTTTTGATGATGATTTCAACTTTTTTTGTTCCTTGATATTTGCGCTCTGCCGCAGCTTGTTTTGTACTAACACGTGTGAGTAAAGATGATTCTAAATTTGTGTAACGTTTAACGACTACTGCTTTACGTTTTTGATATATTATCAATATGTCAATCAAGTTAAAGCTGCATTAATGACTCCCTATCTTTCAACAATGTTTTCATTTGCTGATAAAGTATACCTGTCTATTTCTATGATGTGCAACTTTATTTGCTACTATTGAGATTTTTAGCGATAATGAGGTAAAATCAATTCGAATAAATAAAATAATTGCAATTATTTTATCAACTAAAGTATCATGATACTTGAGTTTCGGTCATATTCATTGATTGTATTTATCAATTTTTTTAATTGATTTTAAATTAAATAATCTATGTAATCTGGCCTATTGATAAGAAACACGGAAATGCAGTTTCATAATGTGAGTCAAGCGTGGATTGTTTCGAATGAATTTAGCTCTTTGCGAGATTTCGCACACAAAATACTACTTAAACCTAAAAATTGAAAAACATGTTCACGACTTTTTTGCGAACTTCTTTTCCATGCCGAATTCGTTTGATAGTTCACTAACAGTTTCCGACCATTTAACAGTGACATGGTCATAATAGCTGTGATTTCCACTTACCAAAAAGATTTGTGAGAGAAATACCGAAGATGTGCAATTTCACCTCTTGAATATGTAAAAAATCCTCTGAATCGATCGTTTCCCCAGACCCTTGAGATTTGTGCCATTTTCAATCAGTTAAGAGTTTATGACACAGTTGGACAGTCTTTCATTTAGAAAATATGTCTCATATTTCTCATGAATAAGAATACCATTTTTGTTTTGATTTTCATTTTTATTTGTAATTAAAAAAATTTCAACATTTTGTAAAAATTCATTGGGAATTAAGAGTTATTGTCTGCAGCTTCGACGTAAATCTCTGGATTTGATTTGGTGGGTAAACGAATTCCAACGATGGGTACTTTTTCTCCGCCAGTTTCTCTATAAAAATCATTTCGGAATTTTGTTGCGTTTTCACGTCCATTTTTGGAGTCAACAAAGTAAAAAAATGTCTGAATGGGTATTTGTTTGGGGCTATTTTCATCCCAGCTCTCGAGTCGAATTTCACTGTTGACGAATTCCATTTTTGGATAGCCTGCACATTGCAGATATGCGTTTGCATCCATAGCTACCGCGAAATTTTGAGCGGATGTTTCTTTGGTCGTATCAAAACCGCACTGGAGCACCTCAAATTCTTTCACATCACTGGACATTATTTTGTTGAAATGTGACAGCCAATCTGTAAATGTTGATATATTCTGGACATCGCATGGTCGGCCTATTCCTGCTGTATCGAAACGTAAGGGCCCACATCCACGATCTTTGCGAAAATCAGTTCGTGCATCGATTGGAAATGCACACAAAACCTTCTGTTTGTTCTTTATATGTGGTGTTTTTAAATGTGGATAAAGAATGAATCCAGCGTCATAGCCCCACCCTAGTTTTGTAAACGGATGATCGTGTCGTAGAAATCCGAATGGAATTGAATTTTTATCCTTATCGTCTGGTTTTAAACTCCAAGCATATTTTGTTTGATTATCGCGAAACATTATACCACGGATAATAATTCCCGAACATTCGTAGAGTGGCTTCGGTGCGCCATGACTATCGAAACACTCAATTGACTCATCATAGAAACGGTTAATCAACTCGTGCACAATGTCTTCTTCGCATGAAGGTTTTAAAATGAAACTGGCCACGATCAAAAATATCATTTTATTGAACAGCATTGTGTCCACGATGAGTTCAGCTTTCCTTTTTCACTTGATGTAAGCGCTCCGTCACTATTAATTATGTACTAATGAACATGATCAATGGCGATATTGAATTAATATAATGTTCAAGGACTGGAACAATGCTTGAAAACTTTTTAATCAATGTTTACATTTGCTGAATAAATAAAACACCTGTCCTGTTAACGCAAACGATGAAAAACATTTGCTTTGTGGTGCGGCTATTTAGATTCTTAGCGATACTAGCCAAGTATGTTATCTTAAATCACATGTAATTGAATACAAGATATTCGTTCACTCTTCATGTGTATAAAATGAGTGATACTCATGTCGATACGCAGTCGAATTATAAAGCCATATCAATGGATTGTGTCTATTAGTTTTTCTTATCGATATCGGATTGTATAGTCTTAAGTTTATTGATGACTAATAAATGAATGTCGTTCCCTTTTGTGGCTGTAGAAGTAAATGTCTATCATAGGCAATTGGTGCAAATGTGCCAAAACTGCGAGAAAAATGCTCGAAATTATCAAAAATCGAACGTGTGACCCACAAATTACCAATTGTGCTTCTTTTTCTGTTTCCTATCTCTTTTTGTCTCCCGAGATAAAATAATCGTCGAGATTGACGCTGAATTTTCTCTGAAACTTCGACCGAATATTGCGAAGACTTTCTTCCAACCAGAGAAATAATGAAGTAAACTAATCATTGAAACAGTGTTGTGATTGCATAAACGTTAGGAACGAACGTGACGTAAAGCAAAAATTATTGACCGTCATCGTCATCGTCATCGTCGTCGTCGTCCAAATGTCAATGAGCTCTTGTGCCATTGCAAAAATTACACACTTCGAATCAATGAATGAAATAACAAGCGCGTACTCACACACAATGCCTAATTGCACTTAACACGCAGTTAATTGTCTCGCTGTTCGTTTGTGTCCTGTCTTTCGTTTCGTACCGAACATTTTCGCCGTTCGCTTGAAAATGAAACAATTGAAATGTTTGTAGATTTTGAGGATATTTGAATGACAGATGTAATGTCATGTAATAATGTTTTGTTCGCTTTGACAAATGCGTTTCTCTGAGCATTGCTATCTTGATTGCACATCTTCGTTGGCATACGAGTCGAAAAAAAAAAACAATTGAAAAATGAACTCGTCGTCTGAAGTAATTGCATCTAAACGAAATGGTAACGATTGTTTTTTTTCATGCTTCTTTCTGCTGCAAATGAGTGTTTGCTAATTCTGGCTATTGGCCATTAAAGCATTGCATAATTGCCATTTCAATCAAACAGTAAAATTGTTGGCAATTATAAATGGAAAGAAATGAATGATGAATAGTTTTGAGTGCAGAACGGAATGATAAAAAAAAGTGTGGTGTAAAAGATCGGACGATGAGAATGGGCGAAATGACACAAGCACACAATATCGCAATAAAAATGCTAAACACATTTTTTCTCTCTCCACCATTCGCTCTTTCGTATTGTTCTGTTTATCTCTTGACGAATGCACTAATTCTTCATTCGTCATAACGTTGATTGTCGGAAACGAAAAAAAAAACCAAACCGTCGAATTTTAAACAATTTTTGCACCTATGACCGAACCGAACCGCATAATAACGAATAATAAAATGTAAAACGATAATTAGTGTCCATTTCGCATGGTTTCTCTTTTGTATAATCGACAATCATTTAGATAAGCAGAAACGCAGAAAATGAATTATAAACTCGAGTGTCTTCGTTTTTTTTCTGTCTGTCTGTACATACCGAAATAATGTACGTTCGTTACAAACAAATGCCAAACCATGAATGGAGAGAGAAAGAAATGGTATACGTTCACTTCAAATCCATTTGAACACACACATGTGTGTATCTGTCGAGCGAAACCAAATACGAATTGAAATTCAAATGGCAACCCGTTGACTTCAGGAAAGAATATGAAAGTGGCATCTGTAACTAGATACAAAGCAGCTCTACTCTATTTAGGGTTAAAATCACGCAAAAACGTTATGGCCCTTAATATGACAACAGAAGCCGTTTTTTTCCGTTGCTCTCATTTGCGTAAAAGGGGTTCAAAATCCTTATCACAGCATTTTTATCGACAATTTTTTTTTTCATATTTCATCTACCTTTTAAGTTTCAAAGGCCTTTCTACTCCGCACAAACCGTTGATCTTATTCTATAGATAAGTGTCTTTTTCAGTCCGTTTTTTGTTGTTGCTGCTGCGATCCCTCTCAATGCAGATACCAAATCCATTAAAACAATCATCATTCGTCGATTCACCGCATGCCGTTTTTCCATTCAAAACCGAGCAGAAATATAGAAAATAAAAATAATCCAACAAATGAATGAAGTAACGTGCACTAGCCTATCTGTATCAATTTATTCCGTTTTACATTTATTATTTGTTGTTAATTTTACATTACATCCGGTGATTATGTCGTTTGCATTCTTGATTTCATGTTCAGCATTTCGGTGTTTGAGTGCGCTTGTATGCATTTAATTGTGCGCATAGTGTTTGCTGCTGCCTCTTTTGGTGTGTATGTGTGTGTTTTGTTGTTTTTTTTTTATTTCATGTTATTCATTTTGAATTGCGTTAAAATATATCGTTCGATTCAAAGCGGATTTTGTATCATTGCCGCCATAAAAGTGGGCAATGGCAAATTAAAATAAAATTCATTTTTTCTCCGATGCCGTGTCGTATGCAAGCGATTCGGATTCTCGTGATTCTAAGACTGGTTTTTGGGTGATCCAAACCTTGCATGCAAACAACAATTCTCGACGTAACGCCTCGTACGGTGTGATCTGAATACAAAAAAAATGCGAATTGAATGTACAATTGTTGCAATTAACCCAATTAGCATTACGAAATCAATTCAGTGGCGTGTCGCACACAGCGTGCGAATTACCTTTAGCGCGATTGATACTTTGCGAACGTTCCACAGAAATTCTGATACTCCAATGAGAATCGCCAACCCAATGCCACCCATTAAAACGTATACAGCACCAAGGATATGCTCAATATCTAAATCTGGTTCGTCCAAACTGCTTGGCTCATTCTCTTTCGCACAATTTATCTTTTCACCGTCCACAATCTGAAAGTTCTTTTCAATCCACCATCTTTCTTTCATGTGTTGCACCGCTCGATTCTCCTTAAGCATTAAAATTGCCTGATTTATATCATCACGGTACGGTGAGTCTGATTTTTGGAGAAATAAGAAATGATTTTAATTTCCATGGTGAATTTCAAATAAATTCATTTCACTTACTAATAGGCATTCCAATTCCGTAAGATTTGCTATCCAACCAACTGCCAATGCGTGTTAAATTACACTCTCTTTGCGTTATGTAGTCGATTGTGGCGCTTTCCATCAGAAATGCATAGCCACGATTACTTTGTTTCACTCTTTCGATTCCCTCTTCATTTGAATCAACGAATACAGACGGCTCCTCGTGCTCCATTCTCGCCCACATCTTCTGGTAGATCGACACATTAGACTCCTGCAATCGGACAAAAATTATTTACCATTTGAATTTGTCAGAAGCTTTCGATTTGTATTTAAAACTAGATTGGTGAATGGGATGCATGCTCATTATTACAAAGAGGTGCTCGACAATAAATTAAATTTTTTTATTTATTTAATTTCTTTTGTTATCCTTACCGCAAAGAATGTCTCAGTACTGCCGCCTGCCAATAAACCGTATTTTATCTTTGACTCTTTCGCCAAATCCTCTACATTTTCGATACTGTCTTCCATTTGCTCTTTAGTCAAGAACGCGGCTAAATTTGCGGTGTAAGAAGAAGTGACAATCATTGCGAAAAACCACCAGGCTGCTGCTGTTAAACGAGTTGGAATTCCTCTGAAAGTCAATTGAGGAAAAAAAAATCGTCATTTGTTCCACTTAAGATTTGTTTGTTTTGATTTAATTCAGATGCATTCAACATAATGCAATAACCAATGAATGAAGAAAAAAAAATTCAACTTCATTACTTTGGTAAAATATCGCAACCCTGCTGCATAATCGATCCCACAGCAAGCCAAATGCAATTGTTTATATTCCATATATTCTCCAATTCTTCGGGATTTTCATCGCATGGATGGGGATTTTCCCAATCTGCTTCGGTTATTCTGCAAAAAATGGGGACGTTTTTGAAATATCAACACTATTGATTTTTGTGAAATCTTCTAATGTTGAGGTTTAACAATGCATACTTAGCCAAAAAGTATATTGCAATCGAAACGCACAAAAGCGCCGTAGACATGTAAAGCCAAACAGTTGTATCAAGTGGTTTCAAAAAATTCAACAAACCAGGTGGTTCTTTGCGGGGTTTTGCATACAAAATACTTATGCCTGAAATTTAAAAAAAATATTTTGAAAAGCTAGCATTTTAGGGGACTTTCTTTTCATAACTAATCTTTATAAATTAGGAATTTTCATATTGTACTTTACCTAACGGCATGAACGGGATTGAAAAATCAATGACAGTTTTTCGTTCGTAAGTTATGGTGAAATCACAAACAGCTAAATCGGCTTTCTAAACATTCAAAATCATATATCGAATCAAATTTAAATCAGATATAACGATATTGGAAAAATGATCCGGATAAAGAAACTCGTGACCAATAAACATTTTCCTCGATTTGAACTTACACCTTCCAATAGATCGCCGACAATTCCGGTCCATTTCCCTGTGACATGATCATGTGCGCCGTGATGATTTCCATGCACCAAATAGAGTTTGTATGTGAAATTTTTGAGCCGTGCAATTTCATCCATTAAATCTTTGACGAAGCCTTCAAATCGATCGTTTCCCTGGAGATTTGTGCCATTTTCAACCAGCTCCAAGTAAGGCATACCGAGTTTTGACACCACCGAAAACACTTTGTTTTGAATGTTGAACGCTTTTTGTGATTGCAACTCTTCAAAACTTCGCGTTACAATGAGTCTATTGATTCGATTCCATTCAGCCACTTTCTTGAAATTACCATCAATGCGATGGAACTCAACAATGTCCATGTAAATGTCTTCACGCGTTTTGTAGTCACGATCAAAACGAATGGCGCCCGTTATTCCAAGCGCTTTCGTGTCCTGTTGAGAAGAAAATAGAAAAAAATATTTGTTTTAAAATGTATGTGTTTTTGATCGAAAATGGTTGAAATCTGCTGACCTAAGACATGTGAACGAAACAAGGAAGTTAAACTTGGATCAAAATGAAAAAAACTAAAAGCCAAATAATAATAAATCAAAAAGAAATTAACTGTAAAAATAAAAAATTCAATATACATCGATATTTTGCAGCAGCACTCTTCCCTCGTTCCAATACTGAGTAATCGATTCTCTAGCATCAATCAAAGCGCATTTTGTGATGGGTTCATTTATCCTGCGGTAAAAATTTTGTTCTTGCAACGCACTGTGAATAACTTCAACCAGATCTCGCACCAATGCAGCCTCAAGCTGTGAATGTATACGATTATTTAATATCAACTTTCTATTTTGTTTTTCAATTAATGTTTGAGGCGGTTTTACTTTCAATCGATTAGGCGCAACAATTTGCTCTGCATAACGATACTGAACGGCGTTCAAATACTTTTTATTTTTCTTCCATTGGTCAATAATATTCATGGCTTCAACATCTTCCGATGTCATCAATCGAATGGCCGTTATATTTGAGCGCACTTCCTTTAATTCAGGTATGTTCAACATATGACCATCCGGCGTTGTTATGAAGTAAGACTGAGGAAATATTCACCACGACGAGCAGCAACGAATGTGAAGAAGAGAAAAAAGAAGAAAGAAAAAGTGAGAGTCTTGTACGATTAAATTGCAGCGTTTCAATTGAAATAATTTCATGTATTTATGCTCAATTTCCGTACCATGTACTCATCCATCATTCTCACGTCCAAGCCTTGTTTCACAATTTCAGCGACATTTTCGATGCTACAATCAACAACGACACCATTTTCCAAGGATTTCGAAATCTCTTTCAATAGATGTTTAATCATATTTTTGCCGGGGAATTTGTAAACCGAAACCATCTTGTGGCCGACTTGAAACATTTGCAAAATGCCGTTAAGTCGAATTAATCCTTCGTCACTGTCGTAAATGATGGCAAATCTCTTCCATCCATAATTTCGAACCAAATCGACTAATGCATTCGATAATAAAGTGGTATCTGGATGAATATTTCGCGTGAACATGTGATATGGATTTTTGTTGATCTCTGGCGTACGGTGATAGCTGACCAGATGCGGCACATTCAATTCGTTGCAAATCGATGCGACCACATCAGCAATGTATGATGATTTTGGGCCGATAATTGCCACCGCACCTGATTCGACCATTTCACAAACTGCAGGCAAACCAAAAGAAAATCAATCAAATTGGTCCGGACTTATGATCGAAATATTGCGATTGCGTTTGTTACCTGCTTTTTCGGCCTGAAATCCATCAATTGATTCGATTTTTTTGATTATTGGTTCCAAACGAAATTTCATATTGAATGCATTTTGACGCGAAATTGCAATGTCAAACACTTCCAAGGAGTCCACATCGTCCGCATCGAAAAATGCACCTGTTAATCACACACACACACAAAAACAACGGAAAATGAAAAGCTTGCAACGGTCGTTGACGTGTGCGCGACACGCTTATTTTATTGACAAACAACTGTCGCTGTTATAAATAACCACTTTCAAAAATAACCACAACAAAATTGTATTTTCATGTCACACGAGACAAACATTATGTTTTCCGCCCGAATTGTGAAACACACAAAGTTTGCTGCTTCGTGATCGTTCAGATCGCCATTTGAACGAATTACTAATCGAGAGCGAACACTCTATTTTTAACTCAATACAACGAACTTGACCGAACCCACAAAGTGACAATACAAAGAAAATTTTGTCATATTTTCATCATTTTTTCCGCACAAAATACTTGAAATAAATGAGATTCTCACCAAATTTAATCACTTTTTGGGCCTGTAATAGATTAACTAATGAGAATATTAGTAAAATTGACCGAAATGTCATTTTTCAATGATGAAAAAATGAAAGTAGGTTATACAGAGGCGCGAAAAACGCAAAACTCCTGCTCACGCTTCAACAGCTGGCGATCGACTGACAGCTCTTCCATGCTCTTACTCATTTTCCAACTTGAACGTGAAAATGGAAAGATCTTCGAAAAATAAAAATAAACAATTGGAAAAAACTCGCTCTCGGAGAGAAGCGGATCACGCGCAGGCGCAAACGAAAACATTCACCCAAAATATAACGTGGTACTATTTACTTATATATGGCTGCTTACAAAAACGTCTAAAAATAAAAATAAATCGTCTAGAAAAAATAACAATTTCGTCTAAAGGAAATCGTCCCTTTTTTAACAATTTCGTCTAAAATATGTAAAGATTTTTTCAATCTATGATTAAATTTAAATAAAACACCTTAAAGTGACTTTGCTTTTTCAAATTTCAAACATAAATCAATATGAATATTTATTTATAAACGAAATTTTGGTTCGGATGCATTTCGACATTTAAATGTGGTGCGAGCGCGTATTTAAACAGAAGCATCGCAATGAACACTATGGAGGCACTAATACGGTCACCACTGTTCAGATCAATTTAAATTTATTTCAAGTAGCTGTTGTTTTCGGTCATACCGAGTTTTATTGTTTTTAGTTGTTGTAATTTTTTGGCGTGGAAAATTACCAGAAAAATATCAAAAATGATCAGAATATTCAAAATTATCAGAAACTCTTTTCGTAACTTGATCAGAAAAATATAGAATTTATCAGAAATATATCGAAAATTAACAGAGAATTTTTCGAAATATGATCAGAAAGAAATAATATTTTTATCATAAAAATATCCGAAAATGACCAGAATAAATTCGCATTTTCACCAGAAAACTTAATAGTTTTACCATGAGTTATATTACCTACACTCTCAAAAATCAGCCATATCTGTTATTAATATACCTTGTAGTAAACGCGTTCATAGTGTTTCACTGTAGTAGCAAAGTATCCTATTAAATTCCACTGTAGTATTACTACAAGAAAATTTAATAGGTAACACCGCTACTACAGTGAAACACTATGAACGCGTTTACTACAAGGTATATTAATAACAGATATGGCAGGATTTTCGAGAGTGTATTTGTGCTGTTCTTACCTTTTGGCTCTTTATTTTATTTGATTTCAAAAGAGGAAGAGTAGAAGGAAAAAAGATGGTAATTTTGAAGAAAAAAGATGAAAATTTTATTTGTTTTGTTCGATCGGCAATGTTAACCCTTTGACGACCAAGATTGAACGGATGGGAATTTTGCAATTCTGATTGCAGATTCGTGCTCAGCGACCCCAAAAACCCATTGGGGTAACGATATGTCCCATTGGTCGGTAACGGTAACTACCTTTGTATGGAAAAAAATATGTCTTCCATAAGAACTACGTGTAAAATCTTTTTCGTTTTTAAAATATTCAGA